TGGCGCATGCCTGTAGTCCCAGCTACTCGGGAGGCTGAGGCAGGAGGACTGCTTGAGCCCAGGAATCTGAGGTTGCTGTGAGCTAGGATGACGCCACGGCACTCTAGCCCGGGCAACACAGTGAGACTCTGTCTCAAAAAAAAAATTCTGGTTTTACATTTGTGAAAAATAAAACAGCAAGCTGCCTGGTGGGGCAAGCTAATGTCTCCTTTTGTACCCAAGCTACGTGACAGCTGCTTTAGACTCAAATAGCATAAACAAAGTATAGTTGACCATTAAACAACACAGGTTTGAACTGTGCAGGTCCACTCATATACAGATTTTTTTTTCAATAAATATATTGGAAAATTTGGAGGAGATCTGAGACAATTTGAAAAAACATACAAACTGCGTAGCCTAGAAATATCAAAAAAAAAAATTAAGAAAAAGGTATGTCATGAATCCATAAAATATATGTAGATACTAGTCTATTACCATTTACTACCACTTTAAAACATACATAAATCTATTATAAAAAGTAAAATTTATCAAAACTAATGCACACAAACACTGACTGTATATGGCACCATTCACAGTCAAGAGAAATGTAAAATGTAAAGATGCAGTATTAAATCATAACTGCATAAGATCAACTGTAGTACATACTGTTATAAATTCTGTTGTAAGTTTGTAGCCGCCTCCTGTTACTATTGTGGTGAGCTTGAATGTTGCAAGTATCTGCTTAAAATGCTGTGTGACCCTAATCATCTCCATGTGACCAGTGCATTTCTCCAGTAAATTGTGTATTACAGTAAAAAGTGATCTCTCATGGTCTGGGTATTTTTCATTGTGTTTAGTGCAATACTGTGAACCTTGAATAACATCATGGGACCCATATGAAGTGCCACTAGTGATGTTGGAAGTGCTCCCAAGAAATAGAGAAAAGTCAGGACATAACAAGAAAAAGCTGAATTGCTTGGTTTGTACCATAGATTGACATCTGTAGCTGTAGTTGCCCACCATTTTGGACAGATAATTCATCTTGCAAACAATGTAAACTTACTGTATTGATAAACACAGCGGAGTACTGTAAATGTATTTTCTCTTCCTTATGATTTTCTTAATAACATTTTCTTTCCTCTAGCTTAGTTTATTGTAAGAATACTGTATATAATACATATAACATGTAAAATTGTTTTAATTGATTTTTTTCTTATCAGTAAGGCTTCTGGTCAACAGTAGGTTATCAATAGTTAAGGTTTTGGGGAGTCAAAAGTTATATGCAGATGTTTTACTGCATGGGGGTTTAGTTCCCCAAGCCCCATGTTGTTCAAGGGTCAATTGTGTAGCTTTGGGTTATACAGCATATATA